TATTTATTTTTTTTTAAGAAAGCGACTGCTTATCAATTAATTGCTAGTTGATAGATTAAAGCAGTTAACTTAAGGTAAACTCATTAATCGATAACTTGCGTCCGTAATGAGCTGGTAGGACCAGACCAGTTTGAGATGGTAGCTTTTCTTTTATTTATTGTTCAGTTTTGGAGCTCCCCTTTCTGGTGTGTTTATGTTTGGTTTGCGCAGGTTATGATGCTCTTGTTAGGTTTGAATCACTGGTGCCAAAAACCTGAAGTTAAAAGTATTAATTTCTGTAGCACATGTTTTCCCACTTGCTTTATGTTTTAAAATATTTGTATTCAGACTTCATTCTGATAACTGTGTGCTTACAGTACTAAAAATGCCCCCTTTCACCCAAGCTGGATCAGGTCAGAACACAGAGCAAATACAGACCTTTTTCAATGTACAAACACTGTGAGGAAACAAATAAAAGAAGACATTTCTCTTCACCTGAAAATATATTTACTAATTATACAAAGATTAATTTTATAAAATTGATAAACTTTTTTTTATATTTCAGTGTTTGAATTGTTGAATATGTCTATGATATTTAATTAACTTATTGTTATGGATTTCTATGTTTATTATTACTTCGAGTTACAATAATTGAAAATTATGACAATCAGAAAATAATTAAATGAAATTACTTAATGTGCATAAAGGACATAAGATGAAAGAAATAAATAAGAGAGAAAAACAAAAAACTCTTCTGATTCACTCAGATTGATCTGAAACTGCTGCAGTAACATAGTGAGATATAAAACCACAGTGACCGTAACCACATGAACCAAGAAGCATAGCAGCTCAGGAGTTGGCCGGTCAAACAAGGTCAACTGTTGAGGAATCATTGGACAAGAAAATGTGTTACTGGAACAAGACAGCAAAGGAAGAGAACCAGACTCTGTTCCAAAGCTACCATCCACTATAGGCAGCAACATTACATGAAAGACAGAGGAAAACATTGATGCTTTGATAGATACGATCTAAGCTAACAGACTGTCCACAAATGGTAGTTACTTTTACATTTGGAAATTCAGGAGAAGTTACAGTGAACCCCCACCAATTCATGGTTCAGTATTTGCACATTTTTCTGTGGTAAGTAATTCCAAAGTATTTGTGGAAAATTTGCCTAACTCTGGATTTTTTTTTAAATAACATATCAAAAATTTTAGAAGGAAAATTTAGCATAGGAGACTGTAAGGCTCCGTAATACACTATTGGCTGATGTTGGCATAGTAGCCAATCCATGAGCATAATTCATTTTCCAGGGATATAATTGGCGGTACCCCTAAGAGCGAGGATAAGGAAAACTGTTGATTGGGACATGAACAAAAAATAAATATGCATTTTTAATTGAAGAAAATTGCATATGATAGCCCTGTGATTTCAACTTGTTAGTTCTGGGCCACGTTGCAAAACAAAACAAAACAATAAAAAACCTAAGCGGAAATACATTTGAATCATCCTCATATCTCACATTCATTTTTTATTTTCTGCTCATTTTGAAAGTAGTGATTAATACAAATGAGTCAAGTTATTCACAGTTTTTTTTAACATTAAACCACAACTAAAACCAGTGGGAAGATTAGGACAGGCAAATAATTAGAATTTTTGTGGTCATTCTCCAGTAATACACATTTCACATGCACCCAATCACTCTGAGGTATCATGTATGGGAGTCACCGGTCTGCAACTTGACCTTCCTTTAGTGTATGGGAGTCACCGGTCTGCAACTTGACCACTGATGAAGTCACAAAAATGGAAACATCAAACTGATTTTCTCTAGGCTTTGAAATTCCTGAGCCTTAGCCTCCACGCCCCTGTGTTTGTCATCAACAAAGGGGTTTTTCCAGATTAATTTAGAAACACTTTCTTCTGTATAACTGAAGGAATAAGTCTGTCATTTCAGATCAAAAGCAGACTTCTTGGCTGACCCCCAAAAACTTTACCAGCTGTATGAATAATTTTGAGTCCAGTCTTAACATTTATTTTAAACTTTACAAAGTAAAATGAACAATAATCTATTAACATAATGTGTGTTTTGTTGCTAAAACAACTATCTTCCTTCATCATTGCTTCTATTATCCTGACCCCCCCCACACAACCCCATCCCATTTTTTTCTTTTGAATTTACTGGGAAAGACATTAAGGAATCGTAAGAAGTCGAGGATGATGTCAGCATCAGACGAGGCTGATAAAAGCTGTGAAACGGAGTAACTGTCTAACGCACGACAACGTTGATGGAACCCTGACGTCACTTTCACAGTCAAGATGCTCACTGAGGAAAGATTAAATGTATAACCCTAACACCAATTGTGAAAGATTTTTCTTTTTATTCAACACAAGAAACCACAATGAGAAGTCACCTAATTCTTATCTAAACTCCACGTGTGTGTAATCTAAACTTGGTATAAATCCAGCTGTTCTGTAAAGGTCTCCGATGTTTGTTAGAGGATATTAGGGAACACAGCAGACAGGTCAGACTGAATGTTGTTTGGATGTTTACAGTAGGGTGTACCAATACAAGGCCATCGTCCAAAACTGTGAAGAATATATCCGAGTGGCAAATTCATCAAAACATGGCAGCTGACGAGAAGACCTGGAGGCTCAAGGCCACGGTTAGCCTAAGGCGGACCAAGACCAAAGCAGAGCTCTACTTCTACTCCAAAACTAAAATCTGCAGCATGATTGTTCAGAAAATGATCCTGAACTCTGGCTGACCCCTGGCAAAAGATGTCAAACTGGTGTGGCACAAAGCACAGTTATGAAACTTCCTCTATCAGCTTTCGATGAGAAGGCTGGAATCTACAATCCAGGAATCAATTCTGACAAATCTACCTCAATGCACCGTCTCAATGTAGGGCCACACCTGTTTATGTTTCTGGTGATTTCACTCACCTGTTTTCAGTTGGTCAATGTGGTTTTTAATTTACTGATTTCTACCCACTTGTTGTTTGGTCGTCTGTTCTCAGTTTGTATTCATCCCTAATTCCTGTGTTTCCCTTGGAGGTGCCAATGTCCTGTTACCACTTTAGTCCTTTGCTCCAACAAAACACGACAGTAGGTTGGGTTAACTTACAAGCACCGGAAACAATGTCAAGGGTTCTCTAATATTATGCTAGCTCAAAGCTAATTAAATAGTTAGCTCAGAGGTAACTCAATGTTTAGCTCAGAGCTAAATAGAGTTTGGAGCTAAATATTTAGTTTCTAAGCAAAATTATTTTAGCTATTTAACTTTGGAAGTCAGTTGAATTTGTTAAATCCTAAAAAAGTATTAGTCTAATTTGCCTGTGCTTCATTCGGAAGGAAAAAAATGAGCATAAAAGAAGAAATTCCTTCGGCCCTCTGACGTGGTTTGGGTTGAGCGTATGAGTTCTGTTTGTCACACAGCACAGAGCAATGTGCTGTGTGACATCCATTGTATTACTTGTAATCTTCCAGTGTGTCACATTCCTATTTAAAGGATTTTATTTTAAAAGTGGAATATTGAGCAACTGGTCACAAGGTTATGTCATTTTATCCTGAGAAATGAGTAGTAGAGGGAGTGTCAGTTTTTTTTCTGATTTGAGTTTATAAGCAGAATTTGTCTTTGGATAAATCAGAGCTTCACTGCCGCTCAGTTGTAACTCTAAAAAACAAGAAACCTTCAACTACTAAAAGATTCTACACCTTCCTGATTTTTTTTAACTTCCAAGATGTCTTTCTCAGCAAACTGCAAAGTAGCTGTAATCTGTGCTGCCGTGCTGCTCTTCCTCCGCGCACACGGTGAGTTCAGCTTTCTGTTTTCCTCTTTTATCGGCTGCTGACTTTAGGCTTCATCATGCATTGATAACTCTGTGACAAAACCCGGATTTCTGAACGCACTTGTGTGCTTTGCATTGCAGGACAGAAAAACAGGACAACTGATAAATTTATTTTTCGTGTTGGAGTTGATCCCCCTTGTTGTGTGGAAACTTCGGCTGCCCCCATCAAGGAAGCGGTCCAGGCCTGCTACGAACACAGGGAGCACACACTTTACAACTGCAGAGTGCATGCCTTCATGTAAGTAATCGCTCTGTACAAGCTGCTTCTCCCCAATTTTGGATGCTAAAAAGACAATTTTGAAAATCTAGATTTGGAATTCAGTCAAGATTCTGTTTACATTGCACTGTTATTCCATCTATATGTGTTTATATTGCCTTTTTTTCCCCTTTGTACAGTTTTGTGACTGTTTCAAACAATACATACTGTGTGGATCCAAAAGCCAGCTGGCTGCCAACGAGACTTAAAAAACTAGCCGCTGTAAGTGTTAACATTGATGTTTGACAATGAACAACCCAACTCAGCACTGAAATCAATACCATGTGGACGTTGCTTAAATATAATGGACACATTTGTTTTCTCAACAGAGAGGAATCAACTGCACTGTACTGTGAATTGGGCTGTTGCAGCCTACAGAACCCATAATGCATCTGGAGGTTCTGGACGTTGAATCATATGAGTTTCAACTTCGTCGTCTCCTGCAGTTGGATGAATTTTTTAAAATTAGTTTCTTAAATAAAAATGAAGCGTCTGTCCAGAGTTTCCTGTATTGGTGTGCCTACAGCCTTTGTAAGCCTGCTCTTAAAGTCTAAATACTGTAAAAGTTTAAAGTTAGGAAAACTAGAACAAACATCTGCAGTGTTAATCAGATTTGAATTGGCTTTCTGTCATCTTACCTTTAAGCTAATATTTCCAGTCTGTCACAAATAAATTAATAAAATACACTTTTTGCTTCTTTTTTTATTTACTTATTTTTGTTAACAAGGCTTATGTTTTCCTCATTGACCTGAGGATTATGTGGGATTATTTGAGTTGGGTTCTATGGGATTAATTATGTATTAAATGCTACTTTTCTTATAGCAAAAAAAAAAAAAGTTAGAAAAGTTAATTCCAGAAGCCAAACCCGAAAATAATATTCAAAACAGCTGACTTGTGTCCTGTTGAAGTAGCGTAGGAGCAAAACTGTTTTCCAGAAACAATAACTGCATAATTTCTACATCTAACTTCTCGGTGAAAGGTTAAAGTATTGAGACAAACATATTTTGGTTTTGAATTTTTACCAGCTTTACGCTCAAAATGTGGAAAATTTTAAAGTTTGGAATCATTTTGTCTGAGATGAAGATTCATCTGCCCGCAGTGGATGTTTTAGTTAGAAGCGAGGAAACACGGCTGCATTGAAAAGAAATATATTGAGCCTGATTGAGAAACCGAGTTCCTGCCTCCTTAAAATGAGGAGATGTGTGTTTTCTTTTTCTTTTTTCTTTTTTTTTTTTTACATGCGTGACTACTTTAAGTTCTGGATCTTTCTTTTTTTCCTCTTCACTACATTTCTTCTTGACTGAAATGAGCTCGCTGATCCTCAGCACGACTTTGTCTTGCACGTTTAGCCACGCTGGTTTTTCTAGTTTCACAATGTAAGCCTAACTGTTTCACAATTAGTCCTCAAATCCATTCAGGTTTTAAATACTTTTTGGGAATTTACCTTCAAATATGCTTTGACTTATGCACAAACACCTGTTCCTGTAAATACTTTCTTTTTGACTGCGTTACAGGATGTTCTCAATGTTACGCGGCAGAGTCAAAGCCTGCAGGACGGCTCAGACCCCCCATGCTGCACATCAGCTGGAAACGCAGCTATTGTAAAACGTGTGATTTCCTGTTTTGAGCAGATGGAGACCACATTTAGTCATTGTAAAGTGTGTAGGCAAAAACATAACTACTGAGGATAATTGTGAAGGGTGGTTCATGCACCCTACAGGTTCCAGGCAGATGGAGAACAATGGTGTGTGGCCCCCCAGAACCCCATGGCTTACAAAGAGCCTGAAAAAGTTGAAAAGTGCAAATCAATTTACAAATACACCAATGCAGTGCTGTGTCATATTTATGCTTTTTCATGTTACGACCACAAACCATTTAGTTGGGATTTTGTGCCATAGGCCAACATGAAGGAAAATGCTACATTTGGTAGCTTTTCCTCTAAAAACACTCATAGCTGCCTATTGTAATAGTTCAATCACAAAATACACCTTAATATGAGTTAAAATGTGTTAATATCTGAATATTACATCTCCAATCCTATAATAAACACACAATTTGTGTTCCAATGAGGCTGAGTTTGTCGCATTAAAAGTACTTTTTAAAAACAACCTTTAAGCAGCTTTTAAACATACTTTTCATTAAATCCACATTTATGTATTAAAAATATGTTTTTAATTGGTCTTCTGAAATTAAATCCACCATTTTCTCTTTCTCAAAAAAAGAACAACCTTTATTTTGACAAAAACAAAAACACCATCTCTTTATATTAAGCACTTTGTTTATGCAGCACATTATTTTACAATCCGTAGTCGCATATCTCAGCCCAACGTCCGCTTGCAGGGCCTCCATACTAAGTCTTTAAGCCCTCCTTCACTTCACACTGCAGTCTCTCTACCATACGTGTGATTCTGGAGGGCGTCCCAACATGAAGTTGGATACTTTTGAGTCCACAGAGACTTCTGCTGGAAGCGACACTGGGTCAGGGTTTGGATCCCTCTTGGCTGGGAGGAGGATCCATCAAGTCCTTGAATCCCAGTTTCTGCAGAGGCTCCCTGGCCATGAGCTGACTGGAAAACACAGGAAAACACTGAGCTCATTTTGTCTTGACCTTTCAGAGTCAGAAGGGCAACAAGTGGAGCGGCTTCCTTACTGATCCATCCTGCATTCCAGATACTCTTTGGACTGCAGCCGGCACTTAGAGTTGTCAAAGGTGTTTTCCCTCAGACACTGCATGAACTTCTCCTTGAAGGCTTTACACTCTCCTGAGAAGAAGAGTTTGCTGTTCACCACAGACTTTTAGGATGCAACACAAACGCTCAATTCTAAACCTAATATTCTTGTTGTTATTCATCCTTCCACTTGCAGTTTGTCTGAAACTATTTTGTGCCTCGTTTTCTGCCATTTAAGACCAGAAATCAAAGAACTCGGATTATAGATTTAATTAAAGAAGTTAGTTTCACTTTGTTTAGTTTGCCTCTTTCGGTGTAGTTGTTTATCATATGCTGAATTATGATGAGGTTCTGCTTTTGAGAAATCTGGACTGCTTGTGATTAGCTCAGAATCTAATAATATATCTCTAGTTACTAACTATTCCAATTTAATTAAGGGTTCTTTAAAAATATACATTTTTTGTAGCATTTATCTTAAATAAAAAAATTATGTGTGTATACATATGTATAATTTAGTTATATTTTACATTTTTGTAAAATTGTATTTTATTTTTTATTGTATATACAGAAATATGAAAAGTTTTATTTTTGTAAAATTGTATTTTTTATATTGTGTGTATGTATGTACAGAAATGTATACATAAAAAACACTAATTTAAAAAAAAAGTTTTTAAAGCCGCCACTATTTTTATGCAATGTTTTTTTTTTATTTTGCTGTACTGGTTTCTCTGTCTTCCACTTTGATGTCTTATTTGGAAATTATTCACCATCAGCGTTTCAAGCTGTTTTCTATTGCACCATTATGATAATTATGTAACTAAAAACAGTCCTGTTAAAAAAATTGCTGTTAGCTTTGCTCTGTATTTAGTAGATACAACATTAAATGGACCGAATTAATTTAAAATGCCTAAACAGCCTGTTGAAAACATAAATTACACGTAAGGGTCAATGGTGGGTCAAAAGCGTTATTTAACCAGAGGAACGACCCAACAGTCGTCGCCGTCACTCACCGAAATGATCCAGAGGGAAGGAGCCTTTATCCGGAGCCCGAGGTTTAAAACTCTTCGTGCCGAAATTCATAGCAGTCGACATGTTTGCGTTTATATGAAAGGAAAAGAAGATTATCTGAACCGAAAAAAGCTGCGGCTTCAGAACTAAACAAGGCTGCGACCCTGCCGTCGCGGAATGTGACGTTTTGTTTTGGTGTCAGCAACCAGACATTAATAATCGAGTCCATCGCGCCGAGCGTCGATAACAGATTACATCGATGTTGGTTTCTTTTTTTTCTTTTTTTTTGCATTGAAGGCTGTTATCTGGCTTAATATACGCACCAATAAATGCGCAAAGCCACACAGAATAACTAAACAGATTTTATTACATACATTTCCGTGAACTTGAACGGTGAAATATTGATTATTTTTATGGGCAACTTCATAGCGGTTGGTTTTATTTCAGATGAGTAAAAACTGTAACCTAAGGATATAAGTGAAACGGACAAAGATAAATACAGAACAAAAATGTCAAGCTCCTGAAGACATGACAGACTCTACAGAGAGTGAGAATATAAGAAAACAATATATAAACTTTTAAACATCCCAGTTACACTCTGGTGAGCTCAGTCCAGTTAACATATTTAATTGTTTAGTAAGACTTTTATGTTTAACACTCATAGAGTACAATGTTTCAGTGGGTTTTTTTTCTCAGCTTAAATGCCAAAATATTAAAATTAAGAAAATATACTTTTTTATATGTATTTTTAAACTTTCTTCTTGACTTGTGTGAAACATTTTATATCTGCAGATATTCCTTTATTGTCCCACTGGGAGACAAGAAAGGTGATTTAACATGTGATAAGCATAGAAAAGTATGATCTTAAATGTGGGCTTTCCCAAACATTTTAAAGATTTTCATAAATTAACAAAGTATCTTTCATTATTTAGACATGAACCTATTAGAATGTTTTTATTTAACAGACCTCTGAGTGACTCAGTCTGGACTTCAAAGGTCTTCTGTCTATTGGTTGTAGCTCAGGAAAGTTTTATTTCAGCTACTTTTATTTGTTCACAACATCAACAGTGAGCCGAGAAGATAATCGCTGAATAAATTGGCCCACAAGTTTCCTTTGTGACTTTATTTGCAAAAGGTGGTTAAGCTGTAACATCAAAGAGAGCCACCAGCCTCAACCACATTGAAAACATTTGCATTAGCTGGAGAAAAAAACTAGTGGAGCCACCAAAAAATTTTCATAAGTGTAACCAGACCAGATCACTGTGACACCAAAATCATTTTCTATTTATATATTTATTTATACATTTAGTAAATAAATGTATATATATATATTTTCCACATTTATTTATTTCGTTTTACATTTATGTCTGGACTGAAGAAGATGAATGTGTGCCTTTGTATGATCTAAACACGAAACATGGCCGGCATTTTTCCAGCTGTGGCCATGCCCCCCCTTACCCCTCTCTTGGGATCGTCACTGCGATTATATTCTCAATTTGTATCTCTTCAAATCCACACACTGAGCATTTTTAACAGCACACGATGTACAATTAGATATTAACTTGTATTGCTAGTAGCAGTTAGCCTATAGTTACGAAGCAGAACAATTAACAAATCCTGTCTGTTTCTACTCATTTATACCTATTTTGAGGTGATAAAAGTACACCTCAAAATAGTAGCTACCTTCTGTCTTTATCAAATTCTTGTATTAAATTTTATTTTACTGAGTGCAATTTCCGTATTGTGCCGCTAGATGTCTCACTTCTAAAAGTATTTTATTGAAGGAGGGAGAAGGTGGAGGAGGCTCTGGTGGTTGTTCTTCAGGCTTCATTATTATGCAGTCAGTGAGACAAGGTACCAGAATAATCAGAGCGCAGCAGAGACAGAGGCTCGTCGGCACGGATAGCTCGGTCTCCGCCGCTCCAGCTCAGACCGGAGGTGACAGGTGATCTCCCGCTCTGCCTGTCCGTCTGTCTGTCGGGCTCCGGCGGCGGATGTTCTCGGACAGG